TAATTAAGCATGGCGATAACATGTTATTTGGATGCACAAGGAACATTTGATCGTCGATCAAGGGGTAATACCAACAGGCTCCCACGCTCTCAAGCCAAAGGGCACCTGAGAGCACAGCAATCGTCTCCTCAACCTTCCCTACCTTCCCCTTACCGTCGTGCAATTCAAGAAAGAGATCAGACCGTTGTTAACACGGCTATCTAGTACGAGAACCACGGCGATGTACCTATTCTCAACATTGACACCATACGATCAAGCCCAGCTCCTCACCCGACACTCAACGCGTGCAAGATCTGTTCTCGCGTATAAAAGTGAATGCCTTCAAGAACATAGGAATGCTGTAGCGTGACAATCAATGTGCTGATGCAGACCTGAAGGCCAGGATAGATAGAGCCTCCAAGACTAATGTAATCACCTTGGCTATAAACACCACGGCCAAAGGTTTCAGTACCACCGTATAGAGAGTGCCACCGAACTCCATTGGGACGCCTTCCCAATACTGACTCCACAACCAGTGTTTCGATCAGTTACCACCATCACCGATGAACTCAACAGCTCAGAATGATGGAAACATGAGCAACGAGGCCATGGGTGGGCAATGCCTTAGGTAATGATCACGAGTATTTGCTGATCCCCTGTGTGATCGGCACACTGAAACGGAACAGCCTATGACCAAGCGACGCGATGGCATCCAGATAAGGGACAGCTTCCTCGTATCCTCCTTCAACCTCAACTTTACTCGCTCGCTGGTTTACCCTGAGCACTCTACCATACTATTGTCGAGTCTCTGTTGTCCAATAACATCCATTCATTTAGTTAGTTGGGAGTAGTGGGTAGTGGGGCGAAAGCATGATACGTTGCTACAGAACTAGTGAGATCCGAAAGTCTCAACCTCGAAGTTCTGCCGAAAAATTCTCCGAAACTTGCAACGCTGGATGCTTCGCTCCGCATGAGTAGCAGCGAGATTATGGGATACTCTTATCTGCCACAGAGAGTCAATTCGGTGCTCTCTGGGCCAGAGCCTCTGGCTTATGACCCTCGCTTGACTACTCATGCCTCCCAAACCAACTTAAACCGGATGCGGGCGGGTGGGTTCAGGAAAGTCCCCATTAACTAAATGGTAACTGGATATTAATCGATCAAACACCCCCCAACCACATCACAAACCATTCGCTCGTTTGTTGACCTAGCCCAATTAATTGACCTTCATAGAATACTAGTCCTCATTGAAGGCATTTGCCTGTCCTTCCTCAAGTTCGTGATTCCAAAGGAGTTCCCCAACATCCACACGAACACACCAAAACCTACCTTTCCTCTCTCCCATTCCCTCTCCGGCTCCTCTGCAGACACATAGTGTTCATCCGAAGACCCACCATGGCACCGGCACTCCGAGAGAGACCTCGCTACCAACTTGAGTACAGAGCCCCATAGGTCGCCTCGAGCGATCCCAAGTCGGCCCTGCCAGCATGCCGATAATACCGAAAGGCTTCTGTAACTCTGAGACCGAATTTAGTCTTAGAGTATACATCTTTAGATGTGCTATATACAAAAACCTAGTGAGAGAAGAAAGCTAATTTGACCTCAGCAGGATTAGTAGTGTGAGGTTATGTCATTAACTGGCTAAACCATTTCGAGCGCCTCATCATCGTCAGACGCTACCCATGCTACACAAAAAAAAGGGACGCCAGCGGGTCCTCTTCTCGAAAGCGAATTCCGGAGAAACCACAGGCCCTTCCTCGAACACAGCCTCGTCATGGGAATCATGCAGCTGTTCCCGCTCAAGAATTTGGTATCGTCAAAGCCTGGAATCCATCTCGGAAGGCTCTCCTCGTGACCGAATTAGACCAACGAGTTAACCGTGCGGGCAACCTTCTGCCCTATACCAATGCACCCAGGTTCGAACCCCACAGCATCCATTACTATCGCGCCTTCCTTCTTTCCCAATGACCTCAGGAAAGGTATCAATTAAAGACTTTTTCGACAACCAATACGTGCTCATCTTCAAAGACCTCCTAGCCTACTCCCGTAAACCTCACCTGGTCACGTCCTTATAGCCGACAAGGGGGAGAATCATCATGGTGGAGTTTACGATGTACATGAATAGTTTGCGCCGTGCGAAAGATACGCAAAACTCAAAGTGCGCTTCAAAAAATTGCATCGCTCCGCCTTTTTGACTAAATCGCGAATCGACGTCGCAAGTGTCTACCTCGTGAGAGCCGTTGTCGAGAGGCTTCCACGGGGTTCCCATTCGA